AACTAAATAATTTAGTAAAACTAATATATTTAAAAAAATACTTCATCAATATCCATTTTTTTCAAAATTGTCGTATTCTCTACTAATTGTGTGAAGTCAATGGTGTCATTCGATTGCTCGACTTGCTTTTCATAACAGCATTTTTCACTCGCTTGACTTGATTTGGAAAGAGTATATCAATGCCATATTTGAAATCAAATGAGTACACTGCAGCTAAATATTGATTTCAAAACTAATTATGAATCTCACTGTTTGTACGGTGTTTCTCACTAACCTTATAGAGTTCACCGGAATGAGTTCATACTGTTTAAATGGAAGTGAGTATACTCATGCTGTTGTCTGGTATATAATCGTAATTTTCTTTATAAACAGTTATTATTTTCTAATCTGAAAGCCTGTGATTCGAATCGAGGAATACATACAGTGGCCAAAATAGAAATTAGGACTCAATATTTTAGTAAGTTTTGGCTATTTTTCCTTAGTTTATTTAATGTTTATTATTTATTTTATGAAAGTAAACCTCTTTTGTGCAAAAAACTGTAAAAATTTATTCTTCAATGTTTCACCAAAATTTCAAACTTTTTAATTAGAATCTTTAGAAAAAAGTTTGGTTTCCAGTTTTGTAACTCATTAAAATTTAGTATAAAGTGCGAGTGGCAAGTGCTGCTCATTTGCTTCTCTTTCAAAAAAAAAAAAATGGTCGAAGATACTTTGTATGAAAAAAATGCGCAACACAGGCAAAAAAAAGTTGCCAAAAATTAGTGGTAATACTTACCGGCTTAAAATTGCACTTTATTATACTAAAATTTAACGATTTTTTTTAACAAACTTTACGGGTAAAAATCTCGAGAAAATTGTTCTACAAATTTATGATTGTACTATAAGGTTACTGTTTCAAGGAAAACAGTGTGGACAAATTTCAAACTTATATTTTGTATTTTTTACAGTAAACCCCCATATCTGAACAATCAGTTGTATGGAGGATATAAATAGGTTGCAGTGGCCTGCTCTTTGTTAATTTTACTGTAAACTTTCTGTTGGTAATTAGTGAAAATATTGCGAAATTTCATGTTCCTAGCTGCATATATGGAGAAGTTATAACAAAGAATCTCGAATCTGAACAATCAGTTGTATGGAGGCTATAGGTTATAGCGACCCGATCTTCGCCATTTTTACTGTTAGTATGTTTTCGATAACGGGTGGAAATATTGCGAAATTTCATGTTCCCAGCTGCATAAATGGAGGAGTTATAACGAAAATTCTCATAACTGAACAATCAGTTGTATGGGAGCTATAGGTTATAGTGACCCGATCTTTGTAATTTTCACTTTAAGTTTTCTGTTGATAATGGGTGGAAGTATAATTTCATGTTCCTAGCTGCATAAATGGAGAAGTTATAACGCAAAATCTCATATCTGAACAATCAGTTGTATGGGAGCTATATGTTATAGTGGTCCGATTCTTCCGGTTCCGACAAATGATTAATACATTACAAAAATACACCTACCTTCCAAATTTCATCCGGATATCTCGAAAACTGAGAGACTAGATTGTATACAAACAGACGTACAGGCAGACAGACAGACAGACAGACGGACGGACAGACGGACAGATGGGCATGGCTAAATCGACTCAGCTCGACGTTCTGATCATTTAAGTATACATTTTAATGGGTCTATCTCTTCTTATTCTGGTACTTACAAACACCGTACCAAAGTTATAATACCGTTTCATGCTCATGAAAGGTATAAAAAGGGCTAAAAAAGAGCTAAAAAAAAGTCGTTGTGGCTAAAAATGGTAGCTAAAATTTTTTACTTACATATACATATGTAAGTATACAGGCAAATATTTTCAATAAGTAATGGTATAGAAAAACAATGAACTCTGGAAAAAAAGCAAATATTTTATCCAACCATAAACCTTCAAGTGATTGTACCATCAGGCCCGAAGGATATAACTTACCAGCATGCTGGTACAGTATTTATTTCTTTACAAATGAGGCCGTGGAAAATCGAAATGATTAGAGCCGAAATTTCATAATTTTTCTACCATTTTGTTAAACGTTGTTTTTTTTTTTAATTCACAACTGCAATATCGTGCACTTAATCTTCCACAAACATGGCTTTGACTCATATAGTGCAAGAAATTTCCGACAAAATACTTTTTACTTAGAAAAATGAGCTAATTTCACCACTTACGACACCAGCAGCTGGTACAATCACACCACAAGAACATACACAGCCAAACGACTTGATGGGCCATTTAACAAATTAAGCATATTAAGAGCCGTTACCTACCTACACCTGTGCTAAGTTCGCCTTGTGAATTCTCAAATAGTGGAAAAAAGCAACAAGAATTCACAAGGCGAACTTAGCACAGTGTGTAGGTAGACTTCTGGAACTTGGTATGGAGATAAACGAAATCAATCTCATACTAATGGAGAAAAATTAGAAAAAGGGGCGTGGCACCTCCCATACAAACCGAGATTTTCATACTGCATATCTCTGGAAATGTTCACGGTAGAGTATTGGAACTTGGCACGGAGATATTTAAAATCAATCGGGGCGTGGCCCTTCATATAAAAGCCGAATATTTCATACCGCATATCTCTGGAATAGTTCATGGAAGAGTACTGGCATATCTCTGGAAATGTTCACGGTAGAGTACTGGAACTTGGTATGGAAATATATGAAATAAATCGCATACTATTGGAGAAAAAGTGGAGCTTTTGGAAAAGGAGGCGTGGCACCTCCCATAGAAACCGAATTTTTTTTACTGCATATCCCTGAAAGAATTCATGATAGAGTACTGGAACTTGGTATGGAGAAATATAAAATCAATCGCATACTCTTGGAGAAAAATTGTTGCTATTGGAGAAGGGGCCTTGGCACCTCCCATACAAACCAAATTTTTCATACTGCATATCTCCGAAAATGTTCATGGTACAGTACTGGAACTTCGTATGGAGTAATTTATGTATATATCAAATCAAACCCATACTCATGGACAAAAATTGGGCTATTTGAAAAGGGGTGTGGGGCCTACAAACGTACCGACTTTAATTATCCTTGATTGTATTAATAATACTTCTGTAGGTGTGTTTGTGAGTGAAATCCTCCTAAATGGGTGTGCGGATTTTAACGAAATTTTTTGTGTGTGTTTGAGTTGGTCTATGGATGGTTTAGTTTCACAATTTAAACCGCCAGTTGGCGCTGTGGTTGAGTTATTGCTAAAAATCTAATTTTTGATCCAATTTAGCTAATATTTAAAATATTTATTGGTAACGGTATGAGCAATACTATTGCAAAAAAGTGCTGCCAGGTGGCGCTGGAGTCGAGTTATTAATAAAAATAGTCAAGTGAGAAAAGGTGACGTGAATGTCAGATTAAATCGACCTGTTTTCCTATATTGTTATGCGTTTAAGCTTTTAAGGTATTTCGTCTGAAATAAGTATATCGTCGTTTAAAGTAAAAAACCGCGTATCGTCATTCTGCAAAACCGCGTAACTGACATTGGCTGCCAAAAATTGGATTTGCTCACACAAGCTCTTGGCTCAATCCTTATCCATTCGTCCTGAAATATACTAGCCTAAAATGCGATTTCTTTATACAAAAGAGAATCATTTTGAAATATGAATGTTTTTACTCTCTAGAAAATAATTTATGCAACCTCACATACGCAGTTTTGCATTATCTTGATACGCGGTTTTGCATTTTCCTGATACGCGGTTTTGTACTTTAAACGACGATATGTATAGTATATTGCATTTCTGTAGAACAATGATACGCACCCATTTTGAAATTACCACCAACTATACTATAAAGCTTCTAGGACAGATTCACTATAGAACCGGATCATTGTTGCCGACAGGTAGTGAAGAGGAAATAGTTCTTCAAATTTATTTCGTTTTACGATTAACCGTGCTATTAAATGCTGTACAATTGGAGAATTTTAAGAACTTCTTCACGGACATAACACTTTCTTTAGGTTATTTAAAGTGGCAAATGACCACCAACCGATAATCTTAGCAGATGAATGTGCCAATGAAATGAATTGTTAGTGAAAATGTTGGACCAAAAAGTTTCAATAATAAATATTAATTTAGAGCGGGACGAAGTTCGCCGGGTCTGCTAGTTTATTCTATTTTTAATAAGGGGATCTCATTCAAACAATGGGAAACTTAGGAATTTGTGTGGTATGTTAAAAAATAAAAATGTTTGCTGTGACGGGTGGGACATCCAAGAAGCATTTTTATGATATGAATGCCAATAACTTCTCATCATAACCGTATTTTCTTAATAACTTACAACCATTTTAAAGTCCATGAATTGTTCTTTCTTTCTGGATAATTATTCCTTGCATTGTCACCTTTAGTACATGCGGAATGCCTTGAAAACTTTATGCAAAAATATTTCAGCATATTATAGATGCATTTCTAATAGTCAAATAGAAAACATAGTAGAAAATAAATCAATAAAAATCTATTTGTAAAGAATTATTCTACCTGCTTTACTGGTTTTACAGATTTAAGCACAATTTATGTAATTTAGTTTTTTACCTGATGTGTCGTCTTCGCTTTAATGAAAGATTTCAATTAAAGACCAATTGTGAAAATTAGTTTTTTTGCGGCAGCGACGCGCCGGTTAAATAATGTAAAATACTTCAAACTAAAGATAAGGGCTTAAATCAACTGTGTTTCATAGTGTTGAACAACTATATAGAGAGACATTTTTTATTATTATGAATTTAATATATTATTTAGAATAAACGAAAAAATAGTATCAAATATGATCCTATAAGGAAGTAGGGTTAAATCGAATTTTTTTTTGTGATACTATTGGTCAACTATGCCTGGGCGTCTTTCTTCGTCGTCAATTATATTTAAGCGTTTTTCTTCGTCGACATTTTTCTCATACATATATTTTCGCGGTCAACTATTGAGCGCTCGTCTTTCTTCGTATGCACCTACGATATGTATACAGAAAAATATGTTTACTCACAGAATTTCAGATTGAAATCGATGGGACTCTTAGCTGACCATAAACGCAGGGTATTGACATGATTGTTTCCATAACCGGGAATGGGGTTATCATATGGCATGGCATAGACAACCTGCGTATCCACCCACTTCTTACCCTCGGGATTGTCGACCACGCGACCGTAGAAATGAACGGGCTTCATGAATTCTGGTCGGGCTTTCTCCCATGGATTACCGTAGCGCAGCCAATCATCAGGCTCCTCCTGTTGCTCTCCATTTAAGATCTTCTGTGCAAAAATTCCGTATTCATAACGAATACCGTAACCATAAGCGGCCAGGCCGAGTGTAGCCATAGAGTCCAAGAAACAAGCAGCTAACCGACCCAAGCCGCCATTGCCCAAACCAGCATCCTCTTCCATCTCCTCGAGATTCTCAATGTCCAAACCCAACTGGTACATCGCCTCTTCACATTCACTCTGAATTCCTAGGTTAATCATAGTGTTTTGGAGTGATCGACCCATGTAGTATTCCAGAGACAAATAGTAGACGCGCTAGATGGGAAGAAAAGGAAATAGGAAATAGATTAACTACTTACTTGCCTTACAGAAAAATATCGGTATCTTAATTCACAAAGGCTCTAACGAACACTTTTATCGAAACTGCGAATTGCACAGATTTTGGTAGATTGTATTCAAATACACCCTCATTCGAAATTGTAGAGTGCTATTACCAAAAGCAAGGGAGTTACACGCCACTTTTTAAAAAGTCCTACCTGTTTTTGATACTTTTTTATAATGTCTTTGGCTTCTCTTGAAAAATAAAAAATTCTTTGGTTAGGGCCTTTGTGAATTAAGCTAACGATACGTGGAATTAAAAAATTTTTGTTAGTGTACATAAAGGAAATACGATAGTATTACATTGATGTATGTAAGTACAGCACTACCCGTTAATAAGACTCCCACTTGAATGGATTCTCCGCTTTGTTGCGAAAAGTTTACTGCTGGTAAAATTTTCTCATTTGAAGAACAATATGCTTTACCGGCTTTATTGTTCGGCGCTTAATTATATATGCCGCTTTCCAAATTAAACGTAACAAGATTCATGGCAGAAATACACCCGAAGGTTTGCCATTACTTGCCGAGGGGCGAAAAAATCATTTTTCTATATTTTTTTGTTGCTTTGACCAGGGGCTAGATTCTGTAACTGTGAGAAATGCGGTGTACACCATACAAACCGATTTTTTCACACTGCATATCTCTGGAAGCGTTCACGATAGAGCACTGGAACTTGGTATGGAGATACATATATAAAATAAATCGCATAGTCATGAAAAAAAATTGGGGTTATTGGAAAAAGGGGCGTGGCATCTCTCATACAAACCGGATTTTTCATACTGCATATCTCTGGAACTGTTCATGGTAGAGTACTGGAACTTGGTATGTACGAGATATATAAAATCAAACGCATAGTCTTGAAGAAAAATTTTGGCTTTTGGAAAAAGGGGAATGACACATCCCATAAAAGCCGAATCTTTCACACTGCATATCTTTGGAAGTATTCATGGTAGAATACTTCAACTTGGTATTCATATAAAAAATCAATCGAATAGCCATGAGGAAAAATTGGGGCTATTGAAAAAAGGGGCGTGGCACTTCCCATACAAAAAGAATTTTTCATACTGCATATCTCCGGAAGTGTTCATGATAGAGTACTAGAACTTGGTATTCATATATAAAATCAATCGCATAGTCATGAAGAAAAATTGGGACTTTTGGAAAAAGGTGGGTGACACCTCCCATACAAACCGAATCTTTCACACTGCATATCTCTGGAAGTGTTCATGGTAGAGTACTGGAACTTGGTATTCATATATAAAATCAATCGCACAGGCATGAAGAACAATTGGGGCTATTGGAAAATGGGGCGTGGCACTTCCCATACAAAACGAATTTTTCATACTGCATATCACCGGAAGTGTTCATGGTAGAGTACTCGAACATGGTATCAGAGCTGCCAACTATATTTAGCTATGAAGTGCTATATTGAGGATAAAAAAAGTGCCAAAAAGTGCCAAAATTGCCAAATAAAAAAATAAAAGTGCCATTCTCTTAAATTTTTCCCATGTAGCATTAAAATTAGAAAAACATTCCTAAAACACAAGTCCAAGGCCAAAGTAAGATAAACAAGTTGTATACACTATAGAAATTAGAAAATTTTAGTTGAGAAAAAGAAGTTCTCGCAAAGGATTTCACAAAAATGTATTGAAATATTACTGTTTTTCAAAAGTTTCATTTGGAGTAAAATAGGGCAAAATATGGCACGGTTTGAGCCAAGTTGGCATTCCTGCATGGGTGGAGGTATGTGAATCCCATACTCTTAGAGAAAATTGGGGCTATGTGAAAA